GAGCTATTAATTATTTCACTAGTACTTGATCATTATTATCTTATTGAAGATGAATTAAGCCCACTAGCAGTACTAATATTATAATTAAATTGCCAAAAGCGGTCGTTGGCACTATTTAAATACCAAGAATGCCTTGAGAAATGACCTTGTCTCAATTAGCACTCGTTTAATGTTACTGAAATGTCAATTGAGATCTTTAGTATAAAAAGATCATAGGTTATAATTACGACTCGTGACACATTATGGAAACTAAGCAAACTCTTAGGTGATATAATATTACGACGTAAAAATCGTCCATTCCACCCGGAGTACTATTGTCTGCAAAGTTGACCAGTGTGATCAAAATATAAACATTTGTATACGGAGAACAGAGAAAATCTTTAAAGTTTGCTTGTTTAATGTATTTTACCTGGAAAAAGCGTCTCGCCGTTCGGATGGGACAATAAACCCAATCTCCGTATGCTACAGGCAGTGTACGTTAAAGATCCACGACAGTTGGAAATCGAAAAAAGAAGGCTGATGCCGCTGTCCTGGCAAAATTTCCCTCATTGTACACTGCATGTCGATGCCCGTCTTCATTAACCCCTAAGGTGCAGAACAGTAGGACGTAAAACTCCATCCATTTTATGTCGAATATTGATGCATATTAGTAGATATTTGAAAAGAGCATTAAGAACGTGTTTCTGTAAAAGATAATCTGTTTTCATTAGCCCAGAAAAGTAGGTTCTCCATTCATTTCATTTATAAAAGATAGAGGTTGAGTTATATCCGGTGGAGGAAACATAGTATCATATTGGTATTACAACATTATTCAAAGACCATAATTGAATTTATTTTTTGTCTTTTCCAGCAATCAAATCATCCATTGCGAAGATATACCCGAAATACCACGAGAATTATTCATGTAAATTCTGAATATTTTATTATTTTTATACTGCATCATTATTTCGTAACTCCATGTAACGGGATGTTTAAAATATATTAATCTTGCAATCCAAAATAGTCACCTTTCTTGTATCATGGAAGTTTGTAAATGAAGCGATTTGATTGGATTGTATGCTAGCGAATTCAGTCAATCAGAGGTCTGGACAGAAAATCTGTGAACTCGAAGCCATAATATTTACAGCCTCTTTGTCAAGGGCTGTATTCGTTGGCGTACAATCCAATCAAATCGCTCCATTCCGTGATACATGAAAGTTCATAATACAGTAGTAGCTTGATTTTGTGAAGGAGACATGAACGTTCTTTCGTTTTTATCTCCCCTTTATTAGTCGACGTTCTCATTTCTTTTTCGTTCCAAGTTATTATTGAACGCTGGTTTTAGTTGTAGAGCTCTTTAAGGACCATAACTTCTGATATAAGCTGCGGCTTACACTCAAGAGTTTAGTTGAATTGATCTCCTTATTAATTAGTTAGCTTGTAATTCTATTCCCTATTTAGTTCTGTTCATGTTTGTAAATACAGAGCGTTGATTATGTAGTCGACTGTTGTGCTACTTACTAAAAGTTTCCAACTGAACATTCAGAATCAAACGTTAACTAAGTGTGTACAAGACATTTACTCCAGTTAGTGAAATTTTTAGTACAGTAAATCAGAATTTGGTGCCGAGGTTACTGCAGGAAGAATACTTGTTTTCGCGATATCGTTAATGGAATGTTTTCTTCACCTATTTTGATATAGCTCCCATCTTCTATCCCTCTGTCAACTATTTAAATGAAATCTGAATTAATATGACATTGTAAGAGCATTTTTCATTGATAATTCTATCAACTTGCAATAATTAGTCGGGCGTTTGACGTCATTCATCAATGAAGAGCCAGTTTGGTTGTCGACAGCTATCATTCCATTGTGTGGAAGTAACTATAGCCAGTAAAAATTACAATCAAATGAATGAATGATTTTATTATATTTGAGACAGAATTACAACCATCGAATTCTTCGGTCACATTCATTCCCAGACACATGATACTTTCTTGCACTAAAAACAGATTTTCATCAATTGGCACTTTCCTCTATCGTCAACTTGGCGCACTGTGCTTTCATGCCTTTAGTCCCATATTGGAAACTACAGAAAAAGAGCAGGTTAATGACACTGTCCTGGATAAAAATCCCTTCATTGCACATTGTATGGTGTTACCTGTCTTCATTATCCCACATGGTGCAGAAAAGTTGAACGTAAAACTTCATTTCATTTCATTTAGGGGGGTTAAGTGTTGTGTTATACACTCGTAAGTGGTATAGTAGGTATAGACTTCTCAAGAGACTTGATATTAGAGACTGAAATATCTATGCAAGTACTCGTTAGTATTGTTTGTCTGTAAAAAAGTAACAAAAGGAAGGTTTAAAGCGTTTTTGTTCATCTTCCTTAATCAATAAACCATTATTTTGTGCCCATTATATATAGCTCATCAGACAATGTATTTACATCAACTTGGGCCCTTAGTAATATTAGCTTTGAAGGAACAAAATGTATATTTTGGTAAGAAGAAATTACCACAAATTGATGGGTTCTGGTATTTTCTGGAAAACTTCATTTAATATATTAATGGCTATAGGTTTCTGTAAAGTAGCTTTGGACATTGATTTTAAATAAGAATGGATACACATTTACCAACATTTAGTTCAGATTCCCGTCAACCATAAGGTGTCTAGTATAAGTATAAGCATTTACCCAAAGAACCATGGTATTGGTGCTAGCATATGCATGTTAATTTTTGCTATCGCAATGATGGTTCTTTGCCAAACCTTGATTTTTCCATGATTATCACAAGCCGACGTCTATTAGAACCAACGACCATCATTAATTTGTTTGACGTACCCATGCAAATGACGACATGCAAAGTTTCGACCGCTCTAACCGACTGCTGTAGAAATACCTGCCATCCAGTCAATAATACCACCGTCGACCTATTGGTATCTGATACATATTCCACATGACCAATGTACGCTATGTAGAAAGCATGTCCAGACAAAGTAGAATTTAGATGATTTTATAAAAAAAAAATACATGTACTGTACAGAAGAAAAGACGATTTGATTTGATTTCCTCAGTTAGAAAGCTAATTGCCTGAAAAATAAATCGTTTTCTCTATCTATGATCGCCTACGAAGGTTGTAGCCATTGTTTGACAGGCATGTAAAATTGTTCTGAAATACATTAATTGGGCATTTAAAACTGTTATTTATATTAAAAATAATTACTTTATTTCAAAACAAAAAAGAGGGTTATATACATGAAGGCAAAAAACTTGAAATCATAATGATCATATATATTATACAAGAATATACAAAAAAAAATGTCTGATTATATACACAAAAATATACAAGAAATAACTGTTTTCATATATACAAGAATATACAAGAGAATGGCGATATTTATGTACTGGAAACATGAACACAAACAAATCAGGTACTAGTCCGAAACATCTGCCTCTATTCCAGCCTCTGATGAATATTTTGACCGCTGTCATCTGTTCAAATAGCTATCAGAGGCCGGCATAGGGACAGGTGTTTCAGTCTAATCAGGTACTAGCCCTTTGACAGTATTACCTTACAATTTATGATTTTATGAATTCCGAAGGTTCGCAGATATTAACAGCATAACTTCACTTTCAATCTATTAGGATAATAATGTACAATAAATCAAAAGCTTAAAGGCGATGAGAGACACCTTCGACAGTTTCATGAATTCAAATATGAGTTTAATGTCAAAATAAGCTTCACGTTAAAAGGATTTTACGCCCTCTTTGTAAGTTCCAAATAGGGTTAATTAAGACGGACAACGCCGTACAGCGTAACAGAACAAAGAAAGAAAGAATCAAAAAAACAATATTTTACAAGGATAACAACTTTGGATCTTGACCAAGCCTCTAAGCATCGATCTTCCTCTGATTTTCCGTAACAATTAACATACTGGAACTATGAGTGAAGATGACTTTTTCAAGGTTATCGGAATTTCATTATCAAAGCCTTTTCATTTTCAATTATAATACATTTATATTATATCGTACACATCATGTAGCACATGACTTCAAAACTAACTTCGATATACATGTAGGCCTATTTGATATCTTCTAACCATAGAATGAATTTCCACTTTGAATATTCACATTGAAACGTTTAACCATAAAACCAATCCAGACGCTATTACTGGTAATTGGTTGGCAGAGGTAATGAGTCTAGTAAAGTTTATTGAAGAAATAATATTCAAAGTCACATGGTAGGTATGGTAAGAATTCTATTGTAATTATTTTGTGATTACATACTTTTTGTTTGAGGATATTCAAAACTTAGCCATATTCTTAGGTGTTTAGACATAAACACAGAATCTTATTATACAACCAATCCTCATCGTCGATATAAACACATTTTCAATTAACCCTTCGTCTTCCATTTCACTTTTTATCTTCAAGTTTTATTATATACATGTACGATTTATAACAGCATAAATTCATCACGTGTTTTAGAACTGTTAATAGACGTCATTCTTTCTTTATTAAACACTCTTCTCAATTCTACTCGAAAATTCTTCCCCGATAAAACATAAATAAAAAAGTTGATACCATAATTGATCTGAGAAATGACAACAAGTAGATCTTTCCAAGGATGGGCGCTTATTAACAACCCAGCAGCGTCACGTCCGTACACTTTCATCGCAATGATCAACACAAAGGATAAAAATACGAGCGGTAAAAGTGTAAAAATGTAAGTAAATGATATTGCCAATAACATGATGGTTGTCTTATGGCGCGTATTATTCGATCTGGTTAATCGTGTCGAGAAAGAATTTTCATCCTGCATGGCTTTTCGAACATGGTATATTTTACATAGAACCAAGATATTACAGATGAATACAATTATGACTGGTAAGGTAAATATTAGACAGAACTGGTAAAAATATACATGTAAGGCTGTATAAACAGTATATAACTCCGGAGTACTTTCACACTGAGCATTATTATTAGTAACCATTACTAGTCGAAATACTTGGGTATATGACATCACGATAAACAATGACAGTATAATCAGAATAGCTCCACGCTGTGTTGTGAATACGTGCTTCTTAAACGGCATGTAAACCACCAATAAACGTTCTTGTGCCATACAAACGATAATCCAAGAGGACATTAAGGAACACACGCATCCGGTGAAGTTGAAGATCTTACAAGCTGCCGCTGAGAACCCTTCAAATACTCCTGGTTTACCATAATACATTAGCAAATCATTGGTGACTAGAATTTCTCTCTCTATTAGTACCAGACTATCAAAAACTGCTAATGCACATAAATAATGACTGTAGGATTTATGTCGTAATGTTTTAGACTTCATCACAATAAACGATAAGCAATTCCCAATGATTCCCACAACGGTAAAGATTGGTGTAAAAATTTGGTGGATAAAGAATCCCCAGACGGCTGGTATCTGCATGAAACCTGAAAATAGACAAATCATTAAAATATTAATAGGTTTCTCAAGATAACAATACATAAGTATATTATCATTTAATCTTTAAGGGACTTCTAAATCAAACATAACGAATCTAATTTAATATAAAATATGGCGGCGTTTATTAACATTTAAAGCTTAGCAAATACCTTTCAAATGTTGTATTCTCTATATTGAAGATATGTTCATTATAATTTTGTATGCACAAATCATGTCTGATGAACCCTTTAAAACTATGGGATATTCGAGCTACAGGTTTTTAAGATGTACTTGAAGCCTTGTCAGACGTAAAGAAAGGGAGACTTTACTCGACTTACAATCAGGCTACAAGAATGACAGACAGGTCAATTAGATATTCTGATTCTGGTAGATTTCAAACACACAGCGATCAAACATAGAGACTCGATGATTCTGGTAGACATTCATCACACAGCAATCCAACATAGAGACTCAATGATTCTGGTAGACATTAATCACACAGCAATCCAACATAGAGACTCAATGATTATGGTAGACATTAATCACACAGCAATCCAACATAGAGACTCAATGATTCTGGTAGACATTAATCACACAGCAATCCAACATAGAGACTCAATGATTCTGGTAGACATTAATCACACAGCAATCCAACATAGAGACTCAATGATTCAATGACTTCAATCACACAGCAATCCAACATAGAGACTCAGTGATTCAATGACTTCAATCACACTAGCAATCCAACATAGGAAAGCAATCATCCTGGTAGACTTCAATCACACAACAATCAAACATTTGGACTCAATGATTCTGGTGGACTTCGATCACACATCAATCAAATATCGGAATTCAATGATTCTGGTAGACCTTGTTCTCATTGTAGACTTCAATCACACAGCAATCAAACATAGGGACTGGATGATTCTGGTGGACTTATATAACACAGCAATCAAACATAGGGACTGAATGATTCTGGTGGACTTATATAACACAGCAATCAAACATAGGGACTGGATGATTCTGGGGAACTAATATAACACAGCAATCAAACATAGGGACTGAATGATTCTGGTGGACTTATACCCCACAGCAATCAAACATAGGGACTGGATGATTCTGGTGGACTTATATAACACAGCAATCAAACATGGGGACTGGATGATTCTGGTGAACTTATATAACACAGCAATCAAAGATAGGAACTGAATGATTCTGGTGGACTTATATAACACAGCAATCAAACATAGGGACTGAATGATTCTGGTAGACTTCGATCACATAGCAATCAAACATAGGGACTGGATGATTCTGGTGAACTTATATAACACAGCAATCAAAGATAGGAACTGAATGATTCTGGTGGACTTATATAACACCAATCAAACATAGGAACTGAATGATTCTGGTAGACTTCGATCACATAGCAATCAAACATAGAGACTCAATGATTCTGGTAGACTTAAGTCAAGCAAAGGAAATAAATGATCCTGCTACACTTGTTTACAATCAACCATAGACAATTGACGATTCTTAGGGAATTTATCAATCTAAAATCAACTATTGGGAATTAAATATGAAGAATTAATAATATTGATAGATCGAGATTTCGAGTCTCAATAGGCTTATATATAGTCCCTTTGTTGCAATAAATGGTATTGATAACCTAAACAATTTCAGACTTGAATGACACACCTGAGATGAAAAGATCAGGTTTAATAATATTATACTGTATAAAAGGAAAGAATAAATGCTTATTATATACATGTATTATGTGCCTTTGGTCCTATAACTGATATCAATTATTTACATACTAGCCAGTTAGGATGTCGGGGAGATTTATTACGCTGGTCTGATGTAATTTTCAAAATTGATGAATTTATGTCTGGTAATGGAACGTGGTGAACAATCCCAATTTTATGAAATTGATTTATTATAACACGGCTAATGATAAGACTTCAACACGCATCTTTATAATTATAAGATATCATTCAGATACAAATTGTCCATTGCTCAACCTGATATATTGACCAAATTGAATAAGAAAATATGTCGCCAATGTCAACTTGACAAGAGGTCCTGAAAAATCTAGGTTAATACATTGTCCTAGATTAATAAGGCTGATGTGGTCAGGAAACAGAATGAGAAAAAAAGGTGAAATCCGGGTCACTATTCAATTAATAAATGAGAATCTCATCAAACAATACCCTTCAAGCTAAGAAACTGGTAAACATGGTCAAATCTATTGAGAAAAAACAACGATAATTGATACTCTCTGCTGCAAATGACGCTTGATACAAACACAAGAGGAAGTCAGCAAGACTAAGATTACACGAATTTGTACCGAAACATAACAGAAAGTAGATTTTTACACGTCTTTGCAAAAAGCACTTAGGAAATTGTTTCGTTCCGATAATTTTGCTAGAGTTGGTAGTTCTCAAACTCGTTATGAAAAGGTAACGAGAGTGATTAGACTGCAGTTCATTAAGTTTCCATATAGAGGTTAAGATTGAAAGCAAAATATTTCAAGGCCTACTTGCGACACATCGAACTATAATAAGGCAATGAAAATAGCAGTAATCGTTTGAGCATTAGTTTATCAAGAACCTTTTGTTGGATGCACCAATTGTGTAAGTTTCTGAATCTTCCAGATTCTCCGCATTCATAACCTTATTTTGAGAATAACTAGTAAATTGTAATATTACCTGTGCCATTCATAAATGTCATATCATAAGATGTATTGTTTTGAAGAGTCTCGTCCATTTTTATACTCGATTAACAATCTGCAAAATAAAGATCAATGAAATAATCATAGAAAACCAAAACACTTAAATACATACAAACACTTTACGAACGAATTCAAACCTCTACAAGATTCCATGTCGATAAATTTTAAATTATTGGGATCATCTTGCATGAAATTCGTCTGTACAATAAATTACTATCGATTTGGCATTACAATTACCAAAGCAATCTTAAAGTTATAGGAATATATTACAACTAAAAACAATGACTTTTTTAAAACCTACGACCAAACTGAGATGACTTAATAACCCAAATTAAACCCGAGACCAAATGACGAGGGCGGACAAAATTTCTTCGAATATTACTTTATATTCGGAATTTTATTTTCAAGCTCCATATTTCTTATTTAAGTACATTCCAAATATTAGACTGACAAGAATGTTCTATTTTAGATGCAGTCATTAAAGTGTATGAATATCTTTGGCTAAATTTAATTTATTAATCCAACAATATTAGCTATATGTGCAAACTCATAAAAAAGTCCCCAATAAGTCAGAGTGGCACCAGGTGTTTCGATACAGAGAGTATGTCCTGTCTCGCTGGAGATACTATAACGAGATGCCCGGTACAGTACACTCCTACAATTCGCATATAAGGAATTCGACTGACCATTTTAGTTCCTGATTATTCAGTTGCTTATTACGGATTATTTCGAAATCTGTTTTAACTATGTACATAAAATTCCGATACGGGGTATGATTAAAGAAAATCATTAACACCGTAAAAAATATTTTCTGCTAATATGTTTCAATTGCATATTTTCAAGGCATAGTCATAGACAACCAGGAAAGCAAGATGCGATTCACCATTAGAACAAAGCTTCAATCAAGATTCAAATCAGTATTTCATCTGCATTAGGCAATTAAGGCTAAATTCTCCGTAGAGACACGGCAGAAATCTTTTTTCAATCAAGAAACTTTTTAACCCCGAGTCCAATTTCTATCTCATCTTCACCAAAATTAATCAATTGGATGTCAAGCTTGGTATCATTTCTCAACAGAGCCGACAGTTTCTTACTGGGTTATCAAAATGGAATGCTTTTAGTTCTTTCAAGTATTGGTTGTTGAAGGATGATTATTGTTATCAATTGATGGCGATGTTTTATCACCAGAAGCTAGTATTTGCTAAGCTTTTATGTATGAACTTTTAGACGGAAGTGGTCTCGTTATTTTTTCTATATATTTTGATTACTTTTTGAATATTGAAAACATTGAATCTGAACTTACATCCTTTTGTCAACAAACTTAATATGACCTATATCGATTGTTTATTTTCCAAGCATAAAAGCAACACAGATTAGAAGTAAGCATGATTAAACTTCTCTACTGATGGAGATCAAAATTCAAATTATCACGAAAAATTGATTCTTGATGTTGTTTGTTGATAAAATAATCGGACATAAAAGCTTCTGAAATATGATCTTGTACTTCTCCTAAATATTATGAAGTCATTTCTTGGCATACCATGATTTTTCTCTTAAATATTACGCTAAATCAATGACAGTTCTATATACTTTAGCTTGGCTTATAGGAAGTAAATTAGTTAGCATTGTCCTCAAGAGAAAAGTCAATAGCTCAGGAAACATTTTTTTTTGTCTTAAAACTTCTGTTTTCAAAGAAAGATCTGGTGATGACACCTTTGAACATGGGGATTTACGACTATTACGTTCTATTATGGTATTAAAAAGAGCAATAGAAAATATGAGAGTGAGTAATCATTCATTCTCGCTGTTTTTGCACACGTTGTTTCTTCAAATCCCTTTGGCCAGTATAACTTCGTAGTTGTTGTCAGATTCACAGATTAACCATTAGAATTTTAAAACTTTTATGATCTGATTAAGTTGAATACGTGATGTGCGTATACACATTGGCAAGATGAAGACTTCTTACACATTTTCAAAATAGACTTGAACACATTTCCCAAAAAATGAACAAGAAATTACTATTATTTACAAATTATCATTTATTACGCTGTCGACTGCTAAATTGTTGTAGACGTTCCTGTTATAAAAGTATGATGTATGATTACAATCTTGTACCTCCTGAACAATAGCTGGTGCCACCAACTCTGGTATTCGAAATTTAAAAAATATGATTTGTCCACATTTCGCCAAAACATTTTTGTCAGAATGTGCCGAATGAATCCTATCTCTGGATCAATTTCTGCAGGAGAACCCTCTCAGACCCTCTATTGGAGGCCTGTGTTCTTTTTAAAAAAAAATACTGTAGGTCATTCTACTTCGTTAGTCCACAGCGCAGCAGAAAAGTTAGTTAGGTCGCAACATTGAGTAAAGGTTATCAGATTGAAAAAATAGAATAGCGTACGAGGCTTGACATTGTCTGTACCATATAGATCTAAAATGCATTTTGATACAATACTATGTATAAAGATATCAAAATTGTTCAAGGGTAACCAGATTGAAAGAACAGAAAAGTGCATAAGGCTTGGTATTGACTGTATATTATATTGATCACATCTAGCTAATATTAAGAGTTAATTAAATAATTCTATATGATAATTAATTCAGTCTATAATATAAAAGACAGGTCTGAATATTGGAATCTCAACTGCCAAGATTTACTTCCTGTCAATCCATCATTTAATATACATACTTAAATGACATCTTATAATGTACTTTATTGTTATCAGCCCTCCTCGTCTTGTTTACATGCCTTGTATTTAGATATTTATATCCAAATATAAGTCTTTCTCAATAATTCTTATCTCTACTGACGTTTGATTTCGACATAATTGTTTGTTTTGTATTTAGGGATGGTTGTCACATCAGGAATTTCATAACTAATGTTGCATTTCTGGCTCAATAAGTTTTTGAAAACATGAGACAGTGACATATTAGATTTTTCTATATAGCT